AAAAAAAAAAAAGACAGAAGAACTGACATTTATAAGAACGTTAAAAGTTAAAAATATGATTTTCTTTATTCCCTTAAGCCAATTTCGATTATAAAGTTATGATAACAGAAGTTATTGGATTAAATTGAATTGGATAACATCTCGACTCATAAATGATGAAAATTCCTGTTTTCATTCGCGAGTTAATAAGTAATATAAAGCTGAATTAATTTAGGACGCATATTACCTGCCAATTTTAAAACTCCATTCTATTAAATCTTGAATAATAATACTTGAGAAAAAACTTCGTTTTTCAAGATGCATAAAAAAAGATAATTTTTTTTTTGTTTTCGCAATTTTACCAATAAATTTATGAATCTTAAAAAAAAAATTATTTTGCCTCGTGTGCGTGCGTGCGTGTGTATATAATATCGGGAAATGTAAGTGTTGAATCGAACTGACATTTGGTAGTGCATTATCAGTTCGCTTCGCGCTCATAGGAAACCGCAATTTCCACAAATTACACGGATGAAAACTGACTCTTGCGACTGTACACCATCGGCTACAGCGCAGTTGGAATTCATGGGTCGCGGGTTATGCCGCATTCGGTGGTATGTAGTAATTAGCAACATTGCTCCCAGATCTCGTGGATGGGAGGAGGATCAGGGAAGGGCCGAGGGGAGGATGGCTGGCGAATCCGCCGGCACAGATTTCATTTCGAAGGAATAGAACGCACAGCGATATTATCTTGCCTGCGTTGTGACTGTGACGTTTAATGATCGGCATAACGAGACTTGAAATCGCCAGAAAGCGGGACAAAAATACCGCGATATTCTTAGCTTAAGTGTCCTCTAGTTACCTGAAATCACCTCCTTAATAAAACTTGCAAAAAATCGTTACGATATCTAAATTAGAACTTGAAAAGACGTCTATAATGTCAATTAACTTTTAAATATTTTTTTTATCTTTATTTTTTCTTATAGTGTCTAATATAAAAATAAAAGAAAGTTCAAGTCAAATTAATGCTGGTAATTAAAAATTAATTAATTCTTCCCTCTTGTCTGTCTTATGCTACAATTTTCGATAAATATATTTTAGATATTAAAATAATTTTGCCGCGTAATATTTTTCTTCCTTTAATGTACGACATTTCCAATGTATCAATTTACATATTCATTTCGAGAAGTGTGAAAAGTTAAAATATTTTTGTTTATCACTTCTTTTACGTTATCGAGCAATGTGATTGTCGGTAAGCACAACAAAAAATTAATCAGCACGTTATATCTAATAGTACAATATTAAAATTTATTATGTAACTATTTAAAAAAAAAAAAACATTATTCCGTATTATTTATCGCAATCGATACAAATCAAAGATATATTAACGCGTTTCTCATAGTCAAAGAATTAAGAGCAGCTATATTTCATTATGATTTTTCTTCCATCCGACAATGTCGGAAGACACGCGATACGCCGAGTTTTGCTTTATGTGCACAGACATCTCTTCCCTACCAAGTTTATTAAAGTGTCTCGCAGCTGTAGCTGAATTATCGCTGGAGTTTCCTATTTCGGTGGCGCGGGGGCAAAAAGTGCGCGGAACGCAGCGAGACGAGACAATCTGACCGCCTTATTCGAATCTTTTCTCCGTCCTGCTCGTATCTGTGCCGTAACTTTCGCCGAGACTGCACCATTACCCCCAAAGCTAATGTACCCTCACAACGATCATTATGTAAATTCAAGTGTGATAGAGCGCTTGCTGTTGGCTATAACGCGAGCAAAACTTTTTCACAGAGCTAATCAATTCATTTATCGTTTACTCGATATCCAATTGAAGTGATACAAATGTATCAAAGAATGCAGAAAACAGACCGTGTTAAAAAAATCGATGAATTGAGAGATTGATAAAAACTTGTTTCTAAAAAATTAGAGCGTCGAAATAAATTAACATTTTTCGCATCCTATCAATCCTTAACATTCTACATTTTTGTGAGCCTCAAATTAAGATTATTAATTAGTATTAAAGTAAAATCTCCTTCGATCGCGGCGAAGGTTAGATTAGGTTTTTTTTGAAATATAAAATTCACAAAATTAGACTCACCGGTGTTGCGGGAACTTCAACTCTCCTACGCCAAAGTGCGCAACAGACTAAAATCTCATTGTCCGTTTGCTGCGGTCTGTAAAGCAGGCAGGACGAAAATGTAACACCATCGGACAATACTCAATTCGATAGTCGTAAAGGTAGAGCGTCGAAAACTTTTCCGCGTTAATGAAATTTCTTTGGACTGAAAGTTCGCCGCGAAAGTAGCGGAGGATACGCCGCCACAAAACCGTGTGTGCAGTTAACTGCAGACGATAAAAGGAACTAGGTGGTGATTACTTCCCCCTCCCTGTCTTCCCTATTCTTATATGCGATTATCTGCGGCCATTTGAATACGCACCTTAATAATATTATAATTGTTGTAAATTTTCGTAATTAATGATTATATTCAGGAGAGAAATAGGAAACGCGCGATTGCACGCGTGCGCGTTGCGATCATATGTCACGCGTCTGCTTTCCAAGTGATTATGCTGCTTGAACAATTTATGTGGATGCTTGTGGATTATCATGTTCATGAATAGTGATTTTTTGATATCGTCCAATAAGAACAGAGCATAAAAGGGTAAGTCAATGTCATGTTACATACATTTGATGAATTACGGTCATAGAGAACAGCTGTGAGTTTGCTTTAAATTTTCGTAACCTCTTCAAAAACATGAAATATACTTGTTCTATCTTATATTTTACAGCGAAAGAAGCGTGAAATAGTGTATATGCATTGTGAAGTGTTTTGCCATATATCTTTATACATTTTTAGTTACTTTTTACTTAAAAAACTGTCAACTTTCTCTGCATTTGTTTCTCTACGTTGTGCATAAAGTATAAAAACTATGTGATACAAAACTTAATATATTTATATATATAAAATATGTTTGAAACTATTCACAGATACCTGCTCTTACCATATTCTCTCTTGTCACTTTCTTTTTAGTTGCTGTTTGGTGAGACTTTATCGTTCTGTACAATGACTACAGCCAGTCCTAGGATCCCAAATTTGCAGGACACAGCTACACCTTTTGGTGTACAATTGTCTGGAGTATATAAACAGTAATTCTTAGACTACTCTATTATTCACTTAATTTTTTCCCACTTGCCGCTGCTAGTAGCTTCTGATACCTAAAAACAAAAAAATGTATTAGTAACACATACTTTACTTTATGTTACAGAAGTTTTGCTTATACAACAATCAAAGATAGATTGCCAGTGATATTAACAAGAATTATCGATACATTCTGTCAAAACAAAAACCAGATTATAGATACATATGGCCAGGTAATCTTACAGACATTATGTATGTGTGTGTTTGATAGTGTGGTTTATGTCATTTTCTTGTAACATAATATTGTTATTAAATTACAGGGTGCAACAGAAGATATCAAATATATCATAGGGTTTATAAGTCAACTAAAAAATGAAATAGTTACTAACAAGACTTTAAAACCCTTGCGATTAAATCCTAAGGCAATTTCTAATGATGCGGAGGAATGGAATAAATATCTAGAATATAGAACTCGTGTAGAAGGTGAAACACCCACATGGTTTAATACAATATGGTTATACTGTGAAACTTACATGTACCGTGTGTTAGCTCAAGAAATTGGTTTAACGTAAGTTTCAGTGTATTTAATATGATATAAATTTATATATATATATATATATATGTATAGAACGAGTCAAATATCTTTTCACAAAATTCTAGGAGTACCATACAGAATTATGATCCATTTGAACAACATAAACAAGCTGTCTTTATTAATTCCATTGATTCCGTGGATGCTGTTGCCTTGTATGTAAAAAATATAATATCTGATGAAAAATATAACAAGGAGAACTCTAAAAATGATTTTGTAAAATTATTAAAATTGAGCCTGTGGAGTAACAGGTAATATTTTTACATTTATCTTTTATACAATACACATTTTGAATAAATAAATAACATTAGTATGTTTTAGGTATGATCTGTCTTTAAGTGCTGGAGCTGCTCTTAAACAAACTGGTAATCCGGTTGATGTAGTGGAATCTTTTGATGAAGATATATTAGTAAATGATTGGGAGCCTGTATGGCATATCGTAAAAGAAAACCTGGAAGAAAATGGTGATAACATTCATATAGTATTTGACAATGCAGGATATGAACTCTTCTCAGATCTGTGTTTAGCAGCGTTTCTCGTCACTATTGTACCTACAACTAAGATAACATTTTATGTAAAAGCATATCCATGGTACGTGAGTGACACAACAATTGACGATTTTCACTGGATATTAGACTACATGAGTAGTCGAGACGGTTATCCAAACCTGCAATTATTGAGCAAGACCTTCAAGGAATTTTTGGATCGTAAAATTTGGAATGTTAAGGTATATCTATTTTATCTTTCAATATCGCTCAGTTATTAAAAATTGTATCATGTAATTTAAATCGTTTTTGTTAAACAGAAAGAGCCTTACTGGACAGGACCATATGACTTTAGGCAAATGAAAGAAAAGGAGATAAAGACGTATATTCAACTTTCCAGTGCTAAATTAGCAATATTTAAAGGTGATTTAAATTATAGAAAACTTCTAGGAGATATTAATTTTGAGTATAGTACAAGTTTCATAACTGCATTGGGAGATTTTCGACCTACAAACATTTTGAGTTTACGCACTCTGAAGTCTGACGTCTGTGTTGGATTGCCACACGGTATGGCTGAAAAATTATTTGAAAAAAATAAAAATTGGTTGCTAACTGGAGAGTATGGTCTCATTCAAGCAGCTGTTGGTCTACATAAATCACATCTTTCTTGAAGAACTGAATAAAAGAATGTGGCTAATTGAATTATAATTATAACTGATTGTAATTACAATCATTGCACAAATGTGAAAAGTATATGTTGAATAAAATATATGTACAAAGGATAACAATATATATATATATGTATATCAACAATTTTTATACTTATATTTATTATATCTATATTTATGTGATTCCGTGCTATATTGAATATCAATTATGAATATCTGTTATAGCTTGTATAAATTTCTATATGTACATAAATAAAATCTATATCTACTGACAATAATTTCCCGGTATTCTCTTATAAGTATTTTATACTTAAAATTTTTATCTATATACTTTTTTGTCAACTAAGCTATACACAGTTATATGTCTCGGTTGAATGAAAGTTTTCTATGATAAATGCAGTCAATATACTATTGATTTGCAACTTTGAGTAATATGAGATTACGATAAAACATGGTAAAGATAATCTTATGTTAATAAATATTTATAAATTGCTAATACACGTGATAATAATTAGTAATGTTTTTATACATCTGTACAATAAGTTGGAAGTGATGATGGAACTGTAAGTTAAGAATTCTTATTGTTTTATCCTCATTACAATTAAACGCTACGCCTTTTGCATGATTGCTTAAAATTACATTATAATTCGTATATTGGCTAAGAAAAGTGTCGATTGCCTTATTCAATAAGTTATGACACACCTTACATCAGCTGTTATATAACTTAAAATACTGCTCAACATTGCTTCACCAATGATAAAACCATACTTTTCCAATGTTGCACCTATAAATTTTAAAAAATTAATAAAAAAGTAATAAATGTTGTTTGTTTCTTGTTTATTGATATCTTCAATCGGCGGTATATTACATACGTATGTGCACATAAAATTATGGACCAAGCCTGTAAGAATATTGGATCATATCATATTTACAAAATATTAAAAAGTTAAATGTTAAAATTAATTAAAAAATTAATTAATTTTCTAAGTTTTGATTTAGATAATTTAGATAATTTAGATAATTTTTAACATTAATAAAATTTAATGTTTTGTATGTTTTTTCAAAAAAATATCACATAATAAATAAATAATAAGTTCCAAGATATAAGAAATATGAAAAATCACAAATTATTATCAGGCATTTATAATTGTAGAATGATAAATAGGCCAATTTTAATTAAACTTTGTATTACAAATCGATTGTTAAACAATTTTTGATTCTTAAATTTCTATAACATATTCAAATATAAAGATATGTTTTTTATTGCAAAAATTTAATTCTCAATAAAATGACATTTTCGTAATTATAACTGATAATTTAAGATGTTTCAATAGATTTCAGTGTCAAATACAAATGTTTATTTTGTATATCGTCATATAAAATATTATATATTCTGCTTCATAATTAAGCAGAACTTTACTTGGCTCTTTACGTCAAAGCATCATGAAAGAGAAAAGTTTCTTTTTACCGAGTAGCAATAAAGTGTTCTCAAAATAATATTCATAGGTATTAAAATTAAAAATGTAACATTGTCGTTCTTTAAAGAATGATAAAAAAAAGGCAATAGAAACCAGAAATACAACTGTAAGAGCACGAAAAATACTATAAATTAGTCTACAAAAATTACAAAAAAGATATTGAATTTTCGATATTAATTCAAGTATTATTATATATAAATTATAAATTTTAATAATTTTAATCATCTAAAAGATTTATTAGATTATAAATTTTCAGAAATATTTCCTATTTTCTACATGGAAAAAATCAAACATAATTTTACATTAAATTTTGCATTAAAAAAGTAAAAATGTCAGTAATTAATAATAAATAATTCGTTTATTTATTATATATTATATAGATAATATATAGAATATATTATATATATAGAATATTCTATATAATATATAGAATATAATATATAATAGTATATAAATAATATATTATATATATATATAACAAATAATTCGTTATTTATTATTTTACTTTAAATCTGAATACTTTACTGCCACGTGATAATATTATCAGTATAATCTTTTTACATATCAGGAGACGTAGCAATAGGATAACGATCTGTATAAAGTGAACATTTATATAGAAGCAGCATAAAGAATTTCTTACAAGATTTATAACATTTAAATGATTACCAAGAGTATGGTGTTTCATCCACAAGGTCCGTCATATGTAAAATCTTATCTATTAGTATTATTCACATAACGATTGAAAAAAAAATATAATTAATAGTTCTAAAAATATCTGAAAACCTCTGAAAGTGCGAATGTAAAATTAATTAAATTAAAAATGTATAAGAGGGCACGATTAAATCAAAATAATTTGCGAATATAACGGAGTCATATATAACGTAAAGAGGCACATGTATACATTATGTATTAAAAACTAGCATTTAAAGGAATATATGTACATATTGATATATCTCAATTATGGCTAAAATCATATAATCCAGATTTTTCAACATTACCACCCAGCATCCTTTTTGAGGCACTCCACATAGTGCATCCCATATCCGGCATGATGTTTATAAATAGACACATTCATAAACACAGTGGACACTAAGCAAAAGTGGAGAATCAAGTTCAGCACAATAGAATTGTCCATTTTCGAGCATGAAAGTATTACCCAGCACAAAATAACCCAGCGCATTCACACGTCTGGATTTGTTGCTTAATAATATTTAAATACGAACATTCGTTATTCAGTTATCAAATGTATGAAATAATAATAATGAAAATGAGTAATTTGCTAACAATTTTCTGTGGTGGAATATAGATTATTTGGTCTGAATGTTCTCATCATATAACAACAATTGTATCTATTTTGCATAGTATTGCAACTAAAAGACATGCAAAATTTGTAATTTCATTATTCACACTAGTGTCTGGTATTTATTCCATATTAATGTAATGTACGAAATGGATGTTACTTGGTGAATGCAGCAAATACAGCCCAAAGTACCGGGTTCGCATTTCGCTTAGCGGCTTCCGCCTCAAAATCAAGATCTAACAATGTTCGTACTCTTCGCATTGCTACTTCGTAATCGTCGTCTGATAATGGTGCAAATGCATTTTCTAATACGTCAGCTGCGTGAGCTAGAATAACTAATGCTAATGTTCGTCTATCCATGCGAGCAGCATCATTGACCCAACGACCTAATACAGCTTCTTGGATCTGAAAGACAAAAGTTAACATATGTTATTGCTCTATTCATAGATTATATAACACATGATTCTTTATCATCTTTTCTTTTTGCAAAATATCCAACTGATTATCTTTTTTTTTTTATTTTCTTTTATCTCTATGATGTTTGTATGCTTTTCTCTACAAATTCACTATGTATTATTTTTAGTACAAGTAAATAAAAAATTGTAATATTTATAACAATATTACATAATCAAATTTAACTTGTAGATTAAAAATTTTTATACATAAATAATCCCTTTCTTTTATTGTTATTCGATATAAAATATACAATTTCTTTGCAAAATAATGGAGAAAAATTATGTATATATGCAAGTGAAGAATATCATGCATATGTACATTTATATCAATCGTACATATGATTTGATTTGGGAGCTGTTTATCTTTTTACTCCCACACAGCTTTTAATTAATATAGATTGTAAGGCATACATAAAGATAAGATATTACTTCCGTAGATTATAATAGAATATATATACAAAATATAGGACAATTCTGCATATAAAAGATTACTTCTTTTAAAGAAAATAGACTATAATAAATAAAGCTTACAAATTTAATGATTTCAAGTAAATTTTGTATTGTGATCATAATTAAGCAATTAAAAAATTATCATTATCAATCACAGCAAAATATAATAAGCACAAATAATTTACCTTTTTCACGAGACGACTTTTGGCAAGATTATCAGTAAGAGGATGAGTTGTCATATCAAACAGTAAGAAATTTTGTTTCTCTGTAGTTAAGACACCTTTTTCAACAAGATTTTTTGCCAGTCGTTCTCTGACATTTTTCAATTGATATCTTAATTTTAAGGGGTTCCAAGTTTCTCCTAAAAATATAAAATATTTTATATAAATACCTTGCATATATAATAATATTTTAATATGTACATATGTCACATATTAATATATATATATATATGTCACATTAATAAAGAAACTAACCACTGAGATATTCTATCCAACTTGGCACAGTCTCAGGTGGATCTGTGTCTTTTAAGTGTTTCAAAGCTTCATCTAATAATACATCACCAGTAGGTGCATCATTTTTCAAGAGAAGTTTTCTCGTTAGCAAACTCTTCTTACGCATACCAGCTTTTTCCAATTCCACTCTACCCCGAAAACCAAGCTCCGCTAAGATACAACCCCTCAATCCAGAACTTATGCAGTCATTCCAAAAGGATGTGTATCCCTACAAACAACACTTGTCAACAATGTAGAATGTAATTACATGGAAATACCAGATCCCCAGAGTGTAAACAAACCTCTTTATCCTTCAAACCAAGCAGCAGGACCTCCTCCATAAGAGTCAGACGTGTTTCCTTGTCGGAATCCTCGTCGATGGTAGGATTGCAGTTAAGATCCTTCTGCGACGAGCAATCGGTGTCCGGGCTTTGGCCGGACAGTTTGTCATTGTGACCGGCGGGGTCTGTGTTCGAGCCATCCTGGCCGAGTCCACTGGCGCCTCCGCCACCGCTACTGCTGTTGACTACACGCCGTCGCTGCACCAGCCCGTCACCGCGATTCATCGTACGATGCAGGTACTACGACGAGCCACCACCACTTCGGAGTGCGTCCGCGTGTCAGATACGCCACCGTGTCACCAATGCTCTGCAACGTGACACTCCCTTCGCTAATAATCGGTCAACCGCTACCGTAATTACAGCGAGGCAGCGAGAGCAGCATTTATCATACGGTAAACACTGTGCCGTTGACGTTTATCCCAAAACGACATGTCTTTTTCCAAGATGGCCAAGCTTCGTCCTCTCCACCTTCTGTCGCTATTTCGTCCGGCTCACGCGATTATTCGTGGCGGACGACTTGACGCGGCGCAACGTGCGGTACAAGCGGCACGACGCGGCGTACGAATCGATCTACGAGTAAAAAATGCGAGAGAACGCGTGAAACACGTAGAATAGCGTGGCTCCGTTGGTTTACACGAGCTTACCGAGCTCGCGTATGTATTGGTCGTGATCGTATCAACTCACACCGAGCGACGATACGTGCGTGAGATGTTTATATGCGCAAAAAATCACGTGCAAATGTAGAACAAATTTGAGACATCAAACTCGTCTGTGTCTAGCAATACGCGTGCCGTTTCATGCCATTTGTGCCACGCAATGATAAAAGAACGGGAAAGAATGAATATACCGCTGCAGCTAATGACATCATTGTTGGCTGAAGGCAGCTGAAGGACAGCACGCGCTATCCAGCGACAACGATCGACACTATTGAGCTTGTGATTCGAGCCGTCAGATGGCGTATGCTGTCTCTACATGGCCGTAGAGACACAAATAAATGAACGTACTCAGAGTAGCGAAGTTGATGGTGATGTAGTCGATCAGCAGTAGCCGCGGTAGCAAGTAAAATCATCCTGAGAAAAAATGGTCGTGACAGTGGCTTCCGTACGTCAACAACTCACCAATTTGGCGCATTCCGGTGGTTCCCATAAAGATCAGGCTGAAAAGTAAGCTCACAAAACGTAATCAAGCTTCATCGATTCGTTTACGTACACGCGAATAAATTATTTTTTGTTTAGATATCGTGCAACTTTGGACTTGATATTGTTGTCTTCCGGCGAGGAACTAGTTGATGCCTTGAAGACGTTCATCGAAGCAAGTACGTTATTTTTATCCCACTGGTAGCTTTAGCACGCAGAAGCGTCTGAAGCGCTGGGAGAGACTGTGAAATCTTCTCAAAATTTACTCAAATTTCACGCCTGTTGACTAGGTTAGATAGGTCAGGTGCTTTCTAGAACATGCAATAAAATATCTTGCAAAATATCACATTGTCTTAGGATGAACTTAACATAACATTGAGACATTTGTAATACTCGTATATTTATCTTTAACATATATAAGTAGGATTAAAAGAGATTAACAATTATTTTAGTAAGTTTAGAGAACGATGCTTTTAAATGCGTGTTTATTACAGTTGTGAACGAAAATGTGAGTCTGGTGATTTCAAGGCAAGTTTTAACCGATGTCAGCAGTCGTTTACTATTTTTACCTGATGAGATATCGAAAGCTGTTTCACATTACACACTAGATAAGGTAAATTATTTTCTAATTAATTATGAAATCTAAGATCAAAAATAAATTATTAAAACATGTGATTAAAATAATGTAATGTTTACATAGGTCCAGCCGCGTGTCATTTCCTTTGAAGAACAGGTAGCTAGTATAAGGCAACATTTAGCTGATATTTATGAACGTAATCAGAATTGGCGGGAAGCTGCAAATGTTTTAGTTGGCATACCACTGGAAACAGGACAAAAGTAATATATACATATATATTTATAT